ATAAAATATACTTTTTTAATACAAAAACAATTAATTGCAGCTTAAAAAAACTCATTGCGTATTTTAGGTAAAATTTCATTAGTAAGCCACACCAACCCGCCATTGCATGTTTGTGTGTCTATCTTTATCTAATCGTAGCGACGATATTGTTTTCGCAACTTGTGTAAGTGAGATAGATATATGTTTGTTTAAAATTGTTATTAGTTTCAAATCTACGTCGTCGCGTTTGGATAGTGGTTACACTTTTTTCGATGCGCGGTAATGTGGTTTGCTCCTCTAGTGATGTATAACTCAATGACTAGAACATCTATCTCAAACAAAAAATGTGCGCTACTCTGCGTTCGCGCGGTTGGTTTTTTATCATAGAATAAACCTAGGTAGAATGACCCGTAGGTAATAGTAGATTGTATTGTTAAATAGGTAAATTATATCGAGAACAATATTTAAATTTTGTCATTTATTTTGTATATTTTATTTACTTATTTAATATAATATTACATAATATTATATCACAATTACATTTTAATGTCAAATATAAAAAACATACCGAATGCATGTTTAACAAAACTTATTAACATAACATTTAAATTACAAATATATTTATTTAAATTAGAATAAGAGTCGTTCATAAATGCTGGGCACGCGAGAGTTAAAAAAAACGGCCAAGAGCGTGTCGGGCCACGCCTAGTGTAGGGTTCCGTAGTTTCCCGTCCGTCACAATAAGTGTTCCCACTTATGAGTTTAAAGGTGGGTATCCATTATGTTCGCGCTTCAGCAGCGCTCCGCGCTCCTGCAACTGCTACCGGTAGTGGTTACTGTTGTTTCCATCCAAGTTCAAAATGATTTTCCTAGAAAGTCCTTATAAAGTTCTACTTTTCAGATTTTTTGCATATTTTCTAAACTTATGGTTCAAAAGTTAGAGGGGGGGGGGACATTGTTTCTTTACTTTTGGAGCGATTATTTCCAAAATTATTGACATTATCAAAAATGATTTTAGTAAACCCCTATTCATTTTTAAATACCTTTCCAACAATATATCACACGTAAGCGTTGAAATTAAAAAAAACACTTCCCACTTTACATATAGGGGGGCTACCCTAATAAAACTTTTTCCAATTTTTATTTTACCACTTTGTCGGCGTGATTGATATACATATTGGTACCAAATTTCAGATGCTAACTCAAAATGCTAACGGTCACAGAGATTAAGAGAGGACGGACAAACGGACAGACAGAATTGGCGAAACTATAAGGGTTCCTAGTTGACTACGGAACCCTAAAAATGGACGAATTTATTCCACTTTGAATTTGATGTGGAAACCTAAAAATAAAATAAAAGAATAATAAGCAGATTTAAACATCAAATTTAGCCTAATTATAATAACCTATATATGTTTGTACATTTTACATTTACATTTTAATAATATATTCTTCCTATACTTAAGTATCCACAGAAATGTCGCATCTGAACACATTAATTTCGTAATCTATATTCCATGACACGAGATGGCGTCTGAGGAATAATTTATTTTATTATTAATCTACAATATTTTTTTATTGATTAAGTATCTTATTAACCGATGAAAAGTAATTCCTTGGTTTTTACTGACACTTCTTGAATTATTTGTACAATATCTAAGTACACACGACGGCATATTTTTATCAAGAGATTTTTTTTTAAATCAACACAACACGTGACAACTCTACAAGCGCCTAGCGAGTGACTGATTACAGTGCGGTGTATGCACCGCAATTGAGTGGAACAGAGTAGCTGAATGCAGTGTCGCCTCTAGTACGTAGTACATAATAGCTCAATGCCTACAGTACATTTATCAACTACAACTTAGGATTTTAAATGCGATTGTACCTATAAAAATTAAACTTCAAGCAATAACAAATGAAAACTTTATGTTTAAAAACTGTAAGGCACTCAACATCTATGATAATGTCCAATATCAATTGTTAAAAGAGCAATTCTTTAACTCGTTAACTGTCCCCATACAGAATTTGTCGATAACCCCAGATGTCCCAATTAGTTTTTGTAATATTCTGAATCAAATTGATTCAAAATGACTAATTTTGGATGATTTCTTAAATTTACGCGAACACTACACATTGAATAAAACTATATGTACGGATTTTATCGTTTCGGGTGCATTCCATCACCCATGGTCACGGGGAGGACAGATATTTCACGTCCCAACGTCATAGTTAGCCCGGCTACCTTCAATTTTTGAATATTAATTTTTAGTCCTATCTACGCAGAACGAGCTTACAGTATCTTGAAGTCTTGCTGTGGTGTGCTTAGATTAGGGTTCAATTTTGTTAATTATTGGATCCCAAGCAGATGGCAGCACCCATCTATCTTCTCTATTGAAATTAGGAATTTTTTTTAATTTCAATAGTCTCGCGTATCATCCTTGGTAGGAATCGGTGTTTTTTGCGAGGATGTGTGGTTTATCAAATCTGATATAAAGGTGGCGACGATTATGAATATGTTCACAGACTGCAGACTTCCCGGAGTTCTGCGTTCTCTCGTTCTGCGTAGATCAGACCAAAAATTAATATTCTAAAACTGAAGGTAGCCGGGCTAACTATTACATTCGGACGTCAAACATCTCAGCGACCATGGGTGCTGTAAAGCGCCCGAAATGTCGGGAACGGGAATATAAAAAAAGTTAAAATAAGTTATTAAATAATAAAATCCGTACATATAGTTTTATCCAATAATTTTGGATAGTTAGCCTACATAATCTACTATTCGTATTCGGTGCAAGGACTAATCGAGTTGAAATAGCGTGTCAACTTAGCGCGTACCGTGGACTTGTGAACATCATCGAATCGTTTTGTAAAACATGAGTAAAAAATACAGGTGTTAAAAAACTTAAAACGAGACAAATGCCATTCGAAAGCCTGTCTTCATTATCCTCAAGTACACTGTTAGGATCCAATAGGAGTTCACATTTTAGAACCCATTGCCAATGTTAGGGGTATCCTCGTATATATATATATATATATTGAGTGTTATAAAAACTTATTAACATTGGAAGTCTTCCAAAAACTGCAAGAACAGAAGCCAAAAGTTTTCTTATTTTTTTTCAACTACCAACACATGATAAAAAAAAGAAATTTTTTCCGATTTTTTTTTTATTAACTGGTGCTCTGTTGACAAGTCCTGACAAATAGAGCAAGCTAACTCTGAAGTTCATGAAGATAAGATCCGTACATAGTTTTATCCAATAATTTTGGATAGTTAGCCTACATAATCTACTATTCGTATTCGGTGCAAGGACTAATCGAGTTGAAATAGCGTGACAACTTAGCGCTTACCGTGGACTTGTGAACATCAAATTTAAAAAAAAAATACGATTTTTTTATTCACAAGATGTTGAGATAAATATAAAGATATTTATTTTGTAAAACATGAGTAAAAAACTACAGGTGTTAAAAAACTTAAAACGAGACAAATGCCATTCGAAAACCTGTCTTCATTATCCTCAAGTACACTGTTAGTATCCAATAGGAGTTAACATTTTAGAACCCATTGCCATTGGACCATTGACATTGGAAGTCTTCCAAAAACTGCAAGAACAGAACCCAAAAGTTTGTCAACGAAATACGTCAAATAAATGTAAAATCAATTGTCTCCAACGATTTTCTGCAGTTTCATTGCACAAATAAAGCCATTTTCTTATATTTTTTTTCAACTACCAACACATGATAAAAAAAGAAATGTTTTCCGATTTTTTTATTAACTAGTGCTCTGTTGACAAGTCCTGATAAATAAGCTAACTCTTAAGTTCATGAAGTTAGAGCTCAAAGAAAGAGTCAGGTGCGTGTACCATTTACGGTACACGGAAGTGACAAACCAAGGCGGCGTGTACTGTATTGGGTTCACTGGACAGCTAACGTGTTAAGACGTTCCCTGTCCCATACAAAAATGCAAAATTCACCAACACGTCCAATAGGGTTTTTTGAATAATTTGTTTTTTATAGTCATAGGGTAGCCCTAGTAATAATGCCATTTAAAAAAATAACTAAAAGTAGGCTTTATTTCCCTGAAACATATACGGTTCATGAGCGTAGAGAGACATTTTTGCTCCGGCACGTTCATGAACCACATGTGGTTCAGGGAATATTTTTTATATTTATGAGTTTTTCATAAGTAATTATTTTATTAATTACTTTACTATTTTTATTTATGTATTATCACGATAGTTACGAACTTGTGCACATTTGATTATCTGTGAAATATTTTCCATAGATTATAGATATTTCCCGTTTTTTGTTGTTCAAAATGCCGCGAAGATTATCAACTGAGGACTTTCGACGAATACTGAAAGAAAGTGACTATGAATTGAGTGACAATGACACGGATTCGAACGGCGGCGAAAGCGATGTACAAGACTAGCCAGATTCTGATATTTCGGATCAAGAACCGAGTATTTTTGCAGATGACGATATCGATGATCCGGATTTTGAACCAGGTGAGATTTCCCGCTCAAACATTGTAACCGATGACATTGGTAGTGATTCACCAGCTGATAATTTATCCGATATCGTCATAAATTCACCTTAGCCAGAAATGAGCAGAAGGAGGACTGCTGGTGAGATCATGTGGCTTACTCTGCAAGAAATAAATGATATAGATAGAGAAAATGGCTGGAGTCGGGACATCTTACCACTGTCACGTCAACCTTATAAAAACAGCCCAACTATTCATATCCAAGGTGAACAATCTGTTGTTTCCATTTATCGACGTATATTGACCGACGAAGTGTTAGATGGTCACTCAAACAAATCTGTACGCTTCTCAACTGAAACAGAACGTCAACATATCAGTTCATAGTCGCATGAATCGGTGGACAGTTATTACACGCGAAGAAATGTTGAAATTTATTGCCTTGTACATGTTGATGGGTATTGTGAAATTTCCGACGATTAAATCGTGTTTGAAATTAGACTTATTTACTACTCATCCAATATTTCACAATGTAAACATGTCGTATAATCGCTTCTCATCAATATTACGTTGCTGGCACTTTGTTGATAATGAAGCTCCGAGGGATCAAAACGAACGTCTGTACAAAATAAAACCACTTTTGAACCTTGTTATCAACAACTGGAAGAATTTACTGACACCTAATGAATGTATCGTCATTGACGAGTCGATGATGCCAATTAGAGGGAGGATATCTTTCCGTCAGTACAACCCATCAAAAGCTCACAAATACGGCTTGAAAATCTATAAACTTTGCACAGAAGATGGGTTTGTATGGAACTATGACATTTACATAGGTCGCGACTCCGAGATCGGATTGGATAAGCCGGGAAGTGTCGTAGTTCAGTTATGTGATGGTTGGAAATTGGGAGAATAGGACCTAAAAGGTGAAGTAGTTCTTGACAAAGGACATGTAACAGTGATGAAAGGAACAAACGCGACGTTGCAATGATTTCTACATGCCATGACGCTACTATGCGAATGTCTTCGGGATATCGGCCAATTTTGAATCCGGAAGCCGTGCTCTATTACAATGAGCGAAAAAAAGGCATAGATGTATGTGACCAGCTATCAAGTTATTATGACCCAAAAAGAAAGTCTCTGGCATGGTACAAAAAGATCGCTTTAGATATTTTGATATGTGCTTCAATAACAAACGCCACGTTTATGTATCACAAACTACATTCAACTACTAATAGAAAATTACGGAAAACCGTACTACAGACGCAGCTAGAAATTATTAGGGAGTTCTTGCAATTCAACAATGCATCAGATGCAAGTGCAATTTCATTGACTAATAGTCCAAGACCATCTACTGGCTCGATCACAATTCAGCACTTTCTGTCTAAAATTCCGAGGAAAGAGGACAATAAAATTGTCCGAAAATGATGCCATGGATGCTACGAAGACTTGCGAAAAGAAGGTACAAACTGGGAAATTGCTGCTAAAAGAGTGAAACGAGTGGATACTGAGTGTTTGCAATGCCAAAAAATCGTTTTGTTTATGCTGTTTCCAAAAAAATCATAATAAGTAAAATTTGTGAAAAATTAAAATATTTTTTCGTACGTCCCGGCGTTTTTCTTTAGTTTATGATCGTATCTGCACGTCCAGTGCAGAAAAATAGTACAGTCCCTTCACGTCCGGTAGAAATATTCGCTGTAGAAATTGTATATGTGCCCTGACGCACATATGGGTCAGGAACGTATTAGTGCTTTTCAAGCGCACGTTTCCTGAACCATATGTGGCTCAGCGGACAGGGAACGTGTTCATGATCTCTCGTCAGATCGTTAACCCAATCTCAAAAACGTGGAGTTTAGTGGGTAAAACCACGCAGCCGGCTGCATGGTATCATATGAGCATTCACCACCTCCCACGTTATTTGCCCGTGGGAAAAAAAACTCTCAAAATCATGATGTCCCTGTTACGTATGTATATAATATGTGGTTCTAGTAGATATCAGAATTATAAAATATAAGGATAGTCAGGTTTTTTTTTAAAAAAAGGTGAACAGTTTACTTTTAATTTATTTAATACAAAATATTCAGTTTCAAAATGTCAGACTTGTTTCTAAATATTTAATAGTAATACTACGGATAAAAGTTAAAGAGTAATACAGTCAAGGGCAAACTGTGCAAATAAATATTATTTTCGTTTAATATACTATGCAATAACAAAATAATATACATAAACGAATGTTTAAGTACCGTACCATACACTTGACAATTTATAATACACAACATTAACTTTCTTTAGTCATTATTATTACTGAAAGGTAAAGTTTTTTCTTTGGTCCTTCTCGTCGGTGCTTTCAAAAAATTCAAAATTTTTCTTGTAAGTTGTTCCAATAGTTAAAGGTGAAATCAGTAGAGACGAGTAGACGGCAACAAGTATTTTAATCTAAACTTAAATTACATGATACGAATTGTTTTTATGAAATTACTTTAAAAAAAAAACAATGGAAACAAAACAAAAATCATAATGTCGCACTGCAAAGAAAGAAATTAAGAGAAGAAGGAATTTGGACCAGTTTATTGCGAAGAAAGAAAAACATTAGGAACGTATAAAGGTATTCCGTCCACCAATACTATAATTTAGAAAATTATTGATTCGAAAATTTCTTATAATTCTGTTTTTGAACAAGTTAAAGGCATTAAGACTGAAAATTTACAGAAATATTTCGAATTATTGAACCATGCCCTTTATAATTCATAAGAAAAAGGTTTGTTTTTAGCTTGGTGGCGACTTGACGTCTTCACGCATAAAAATAGATATTTTTTTATTAATTTAAAATACGCGCAACTCTTGTTCGTCCGGTGAGTTTTCTAGCGGCGCAACCAAAAAAAGACTACACTGGTGGACAATAAAATTGGGACACTTCTATTTTTATGATTTATTCATTGAATACGGTCCGTTTAAAAATTAAAATAAATAATACACTTTTGAACGTTCATTTGCAATCTTAGTAGAGGGTATATTGATAAAATTATTAAGTATGTGTCAAATGTCATTAATCGGTTTTTAGGTACCCACTTTTATTCTTTTGTGTTTAATGTCCTGTCGCTAGGACTCTACTTAAAATTATCACTGATTTAAGTTGTGCCTTCCACTTCGTTTTCACTGATAAATATGGATCTACGCGAAGCAGAAGCCGTTCGAACCGTAACGTTGTTACAAACTGGAATGGCCAGAGGAAGCAATCTTCTTTTTAAATAAAGATTGACATCAGCGACACCATTTTAATTTTTTTTATCAGTGTAGTCATAATTTTTTCTTCATTTTTGATTTTTATTGTGTATTTCTAAAACATGAAGTTGGTTAATTTAAAAATGCATTATTTATTTTAAGAAATAACACACACTCAATAAAAAAAAATTAAATGATTTTTATTTTTAAACAGCTACGACAACCGGTTTGGTAGGTGACCTAATTTTATTGTCCACTCCTATATATTGCTATAGAACATTCTATGGGCGCAACTTTAAGAGACTTACATTAGAGCATACCATTTGTTGATATACCAATATAAATTCGAAGAAATTTATGAAAACCTGCACATATTCTTCTGAAAAAAGTACTTCGCTAAGACAAGCGAGCGCACTGCACATTTTTTGAAATAAATTGGGAATACCCATAAAGTTGATGTTACCTATGTTTTCATACAAAAAACTTTCTTTACGTAAGTCAAGTTGTTTTACCGTCGATGCAAATTGTTTTCTCTGTGATTTCCATTCACCAGTACATATAATGCAGTTACAAACATTCTCAAACAGTTTGAATGACAAACAATTTCTTGCAAAAGGTTCATCACTATATACTAAATAATGGCCCCTAAAACAAAAGGTATTTAATTAGAATCTCAACAAATCAGTTGACCATAACGACAACCTCGGAGTAACGTGAAAGGGTGTGGTGATGGGAAAACAATATAATGACAGGTCAGGCCCAGAAGAACTGCGACAACTTAAATCTTATACAGATTAAACATGTATTTATGTTTCTAACGATGGATAACATATATTATCTGTTGGGTTTGACGAGCGTTGACTTTCTTTTATATTTTACTTTATTGACGGTTTTTTTTTTGAAAGAATTAAAGAGAGACGCAACTATAAACTTTTTGCACTATATAAAAAAGGCGGCACCGTATTTTTAATTAATTTACGACACTGTAGAAGATCTTTTTTTCATCTTAGTCTTATTCTTTTTGACCGGGGCTCTTCTGTGCTGCGAAAGTCCTCCCCCAGTCAGATGCCCGACTTTTACTCTCACGGCGGGCGTCTCACGATCGACGTACTCCTGCGCTTGCTCGGAGCGTGGCGATTGGTGGCGACGGATGGCGTGATGTCGCCGCGTGCGCGACGTGAGAAGCGGCCCCCCACACCATCATTAAAGTCTATCAAAATCCACAGCTGAACACAGGCCTCCCGCATAGAATGGTGTCACGCTCGGCAGGCGAGTAGACAAACGCCATTTTTTTATTATTTGAGTTCTTATCAAGAAGATGCAGCTGCCCATCTCCTGTTTCACTTACCCTTTATTGCTTATTACGGAATGATTTTGTGTTATTATATACACGAATATGTTCTTATATACAATAATTCTCTTATTTAAAAAATCAGTACAGGAAACGTACTTAACCATAGCGTTACGTTTGCCCTAAAGTATTATTGTTGAACAATTATCGATTACCGGCATTATGAAAAAAAAAGAAAAGAAAATATACTTACATGTGAGAAACAGTTAACTCTGATCCCTTTTTTATAGGCTTCAATGCAATCAACAACATTTTTTTATTTAAATTGATAACAAATAGATTTGGACTGCAAGACTCTTTTAATTTACTAATTAAAGGATACCATCCATAATTTGAAATTGGATTAAAAAACATTTTTTTATGTATGAGATTTCTTGCAGGGAGATTAAATAATGTGCAGGGAGCGTGAAGGCAAAAGTACATCATGATTCTTGCCAGTGCATTCTTAGCAAGTTTCCTTTCATCAAATGACCGAGGCAAATAGCAAGATATTCTTTCTAAATAATAAATAAAAGTAGCACATACAAAACTATCCGAATACATTGATCCGTGTACGAATAGCCGATTATCATTGAAATTTAGTACCGAGAACTTATTATTGACATCGTACATTTCCTGTTCTGAACTGATGCGTATCCTGTCACCACCAGTGCAATGCGAAGATGAAATCACATTTTTCCATGACCCACACATTTGGACAAATTTCAAAGTGCCTTTTATCATCAATTTCACCATAGGATAAAAAGCTATGCTTTGAATAACCTCCATAATTTGACATTCAGTGTTATGGTACTCTTTTAAGCACATTTCTTTGCATTCTTCACTACAAAACAAAACTAAGCAACAACCTTCACATGGTATTAGGTTCAAAGACATTTTATGGCAGTAATGGCAAGAAAATGGTACATTTTCCTCGCTACTATAACTTACAAACGAATCTTCTAAAACCAGGGGAGTTCCCACTTTAAAATCTTTTGCTGCAACTACTTTAAAAGCATCTCCTTTTATAAATTCTATGTCAGAACTGGCGCAAGGAATGGAAGTATTGCTTTTAAAATCAAACTTAAAACAATCTTTAATGAAACCAGTAAGCAAATTATTAGCAGACATATTTTCCATTTCACTTCTTTTTGTAGCTTCCTTTTTCCTTTTAATAAGCTTACTTTCGATGTCTGTGGGGCAACCCAGTTTATAACAAGTTTCTATGTCAATTAAGCAAGCTCTAAATTGTTCTAATTTAAATAATATTGCTGACCTGTTGCTATAAGCAAGTTTTATGGCTCTTGAATTTTTCGGCGCAAACATCAGAGCTCTATTGTAAAATTCTAGTGCTCTGTTTACATCTCCTACTTTAAATGCTATATTACCTTCTTCCCGATATTTATCAGATCTTTTCTCACATTTGTTTTCTTTTTCTATCTTTGGTAAACTGCCACTGTCCTCAAGCACATGGAGAGCAGCCATAACTACATCGGAATAATCATCGCTCTTCATTGCTGCGTAGATTTGATTGAGAAGACCACGCTCTCTTAAATAATTATTAAAAAATTCAGGCACATGAAACATCTTGCTTCTGAAAACAGTATTCAGTTAATTAAACATCGGTAATAACTTTTGGCAAAGTGTGACGGCGCATTATTATTAGAAATACTATATTAATTATTTTCTTTATAAAATCGTTTAAAAACATCTAAAAAGTAATATTTTGAACAATTAAAATGCATTAACAACCATAAAGTTAAAATTAGAGATGGGCCGAATATTCGTTTTATATTTGGTATTCGGCATATTCGGCAGCTTTACCGAATATTCGTATTTGACCGAATATTCGGCTAAATCACCGAATATTCGTTTAAGTGGTACTCAAAGTGTCCACTGTATTAAAATGTACGAATTGAGTAATGCCATATCTTTCACAATTTTACTATTGAAAGTATATTATATTTATGGTCTGGATCTACTTGAAATATTGTTTATGTTTTTGAGGTACTGTAAATTTATTTCCAGTTACATATAGCAAATAGAAAGCTTGATAAAATATTTTTAGAATCAAACAGAGAAAAATTACATTACATAAGTACATTTCACTTTATTTTGGTCGTTAGTTTCTCTAAAATAAATCTAAATAGTAAATCACCTGCCACTCTTTTTTCATATAATTATCAATTTTCGCTAAGAATAACACACCGAAATACTTTTTTCTCACCAAAATAGTCAAAACATGTGCATGTGCATGTGTGCCGGCAACTTGCTTAGTACTAGATGATGTAATTACACGTCAGATGTGGAGGAGGAGCGAAGGGCAGGCTCGGACGCTACTCCCGCTTTACGGCAACAAGTTTTGACATAAATTAGTAAAGTACCGAGGTGATCCTGCCGAATAATATTCGGCCGAATATTCGGTTCGGTAAAAGTTTTACCGAACTTTCGGCCGAATATTCGTATTCGGTGAAATTCATATTCGGCTCATCTCTAGTTAAAATACATTCATTTTGAACATTAATTATTATGGTAAAGTATACATTGTCCTAAAAAAAATTAAATTTACTAAAAATCTGCATAAAAAATTTAAAATTATATTACAATAATAAAAGTTTTATATTATAATTGTGAATTGGTCAAAATATTTCAGTTAGTGTGTTCGTGCAATGCTAGTGCGTGTTGATGTATAATGTGCGTGTTGATGTATAATGTGCGTGTTGATGTATAATGTGCGTGTTGATGTATAATGTGCGTGTTGATGTTAAAGTAACTCGTAATCGTAACGCTTGATTTTATATACCATCAGACCGCCACACATATGTGTGTCCGTTGGTCAGGCGAATGACTACCAAAATACTGTTACAAAATGTAACAGTACCATATTAAGGACTTATAAGTCGCTAAGATGCATAAGCATTATAATAGCAGAGTTGTGACTTGAAGCACAGAACAAATAATAGTACTACGTACAGAAGTTGCACTCAATTGATGCTAATTGCTTGCCGACGTTTAATTGCCTGCATAATTATTATTAATTAGATAAATCGCGCTCGGAAGCTAAATGAAACTTTATCACTGCGCGAGTGTCCGTATTATTTCGCATCTTTTATCCTTCCTACGTTATGACGGATTTTCCGTTGTTACTAAGGAATGTCAATAAAGAGTAACAAAATACGTTGCGAAATTTTAGTTAAGTTACTTAGATGAAATACCTATTCTATGATCGACTGACCACATTTTCGCGCCTATGTGAGTTTTGCGATGCCTAACGGATGCAACTTGCAAAACCATTCGTCGGGAATCGCGATGCTTTTCTCGAAAGAAAAAGGTAAACAAAAAATAAACTGCAAATACGATTCCTAACAGAAATGTAATCGTATTCTACTTAGTTAAAAATTTTGTTAGTAAACAAAGTTTTAATTTCAGTATTTTGTGTTGTTATAACTTAAAATATTTCAAATACAAAAGATTAGTATAGGTATATAAGTAGATACTTGGATAGTGAAGTACTGCGCCCTCCTTTCTGCCAAGGAGGGTCGCGTTCGTATACGGCTTAGAGATCTCTAGTTAGATCGTTAAGCCAGTTCCTAAAAGGTTGGGTTTAGTGGGTAAAAGTCACCACATAACCACGCAGCCGGCTGCGTGGTATGCTATGAGCATTCCCAACCTCCCTCCCCCGCTTTCCGGAAGGTTGCCCATATTTGCTTCGGGCGCAAAAAAAATAGTGAAGTAAATTTCAACTAAATTTTGTTATAATGGTATAATTATAAAGCGATTAAACTTTTGAGTCAAAATGATGCTTTATAGCGCTCTTGTTTATTAAGTCCTAACTTATGGGCTAAGCAGCTATAGATGAACAGACAAATCACACCTACAGTCATTGAAGTAATATGTACCTACGTACTAAAACAGCTGTCTCAAACAAAAAATGTTCGCTACTCTGTGTTCGCGCGGTTGGTTTTTTATCATATACGGGCTCCAGACTCCAGTGATTCACGGCGTGAATTCACGATGTAATTTTGCCGCGAAGTCGTCGCGAAAAAAAACACATCCCTCCACATTCGCAATCGTTCACAGTTTAGTTCGCGCGCTCGTCGAGAATGGACGCTGAAATATGCACTGCTATCGTCGTGACGCTATGCGCTTTTGCTCACGACAATTACGTGTATATAAAAGATAAAAAAACCGTATTTTATTAATTTTTTTTACAATTATCGCTTTCTCTTAGAAAAGCGTCGATCACGTCAAAGGCAATTCAAATGGGCTTGTAAATTTTGTCGCTGCTTGCTCCAGACTTCTTTTAAGAATCCTTCACCATTTTCTTATAATTTCTGTAACTGGACATTAGACTTTCTTTTTTTTCAATCAGTCACTTCAACGCTTTTCGTGGCAGAGCCATGCTGCAGTTATATTAGTAGTATAGTTGTAGCACGAATGGGTCGGCTCGACTGGGGAAGGACCACGCTCTCACAGAATACAAACGTAAAATAACATACCATCAGGTGGACTTTGTGCTCGTTTGTCACCCTATCCTATAAAATAAAACAAAATAATATTCATTATGTCCTTTATTAGTAACCATGCGTCATGTACTTTCATTTTATTTTTATGATCTTTGTGTTTAGTATCCTATAAAATGGGTTCGGCAAGATAACACTCGATCAACAAGAGTTCCTGCTCGTTCGTCCAACTGACGCTCATTTTGACGCACCGTCCTCCGTAAAAAAATACAAATAAGCACAACCTCACAGCAACGAGTCTCGCGCGTTACTGATTTCACGCGCGAGTGTGGATGCGCTTGCGTTCACGGGAGGTTCACACCTCGTAAACCCTTTGCAGCGGTCACAAAATACCGACACTAACCGGGGAACAATGCGTGGAAAGGCGCGAAGCCCGTGAACGGGCGCGAAAGCCATCCACATTCGCGGTTCACGCCTTTCACGGGTGATCACGGCGTGAATGTGGAGGGCGCTATAGAATAAACCTATAAAACTATAGGTAGAATGACCCGTAGGTAATAGTAGATTGTATTGTTAAATAGGAAAATTATATCGAGATCAATATTTAAATTTTGTCATTTATTTTGTATACTTTATTTACTTATTTAATATAATATTATATCACAATTACATTTTAATGTCAAATATAAAAAAAAATATTGAATGCATGTTTAACAAAACTTATTTACATAACATTTAAATTACAAATATATTTCTTTAAATTAGAATAAGTCGTTCATAAATGCTGGGCACGCGAGAGTTAAAAATGGACGAATTTATTCCACTTTGACTTTGATGTGGAAATCTAAAAATAGAATAAAAGAATAATAAGCAGATTTAAACATGAAAAATTTTGCCTAATTATAATAACTTATGTTTCTACAAAAAAAAATGTGTATAATAATATATTCGTCCTATACTTAAGTACCCACAGAAATGACTCATCTGAAGATATTAATTTCATAATCTATATTCCATGACACGAGCTCAGACGAAATAAAAACTCTAGACTTTTTATTTTGTCTGAGGACACGAGATGGTGTCTTAGGAATAATTTGTTTTATTATTAATCTATAATACTTATTTATTGATTAAGTATCTTATTAACCAATGAAAAGTAATTCCTTGGTTTCTACTGACATTTTTTATTACTTAACATTATTTATTAGAGCCGTGGTAGCTCAGATGGTTAACGCTCGCTGTAAATATAACAGAACGCGAGTAACCCGGGTTCGATCCTCGCCGGCACCAATGAAATTGTTAATTGCAATTTTAAGTGCTGATTTACCACGTGCTCGGCGGTGAAGGAAAACATTGTGAGGAAACCTGCATCTCTGAGAATAAGATTTTTTTTAAATCAACACAAAACGTGACAACTCTACAAGCGCCTAGCGAGGTAGGGAGTGACTAATTATAGTGCGGTGTATGCACCGTGTAGTGGCGGTTAAGAATATCCACTACCCCATATCTTCCCGTGGGTGTCGTAAAAGGCGACAGAGGGAGACAGGCAGGAGATGGGCAGCAGCATCTTCCTGATAACAGCAACTGTACGACAAAAAAAACTGCGGTTGCCAACCCGCTCGCCAAGCGTGGCAACTATGGCAATATAACCCCATGAACAATTACACAAATAGACGGCCCCCAGTCCCCGGCGGCCCCGCTATTCCTGGCTACGGTGGCGACCATGGTAACGGCGGGGCAGGGGGTGCTAAGAATCTCCGGTGGAGGTTCGGTTGCCACCTACGACGACTCGACCTGGCAACATTTAACGCACGCACACTGAGGACTGACGAGAAGATCCTGTAGCTGGAAGAAGAGATAGACAAGTCGCGCTGGAGTATTATAGGATTATCCGAGGTCCGAAGAGAGGGGGAGGACACGGTGATTCTCGAATCCGGCAACTTGTTCTATCACCGGGAGGGCGACCATCTGTCCCAAGGAGGTGTCGGATTTATCGTCCACAAGTCTCTCGTCAACAACGTTGTAAAGATTGGGAGTGTGTTGACGAGGGTCGCGTACCTGATACTCAGAATCACCAAACGGTATTCGCTGAAGGTCATACAGGTTTACACACCAACCTCGGCA